GCCCCCACAAAACTTTGTTATAAAAGACGCCATGATGATTAGGCTAATAAATTTTCGTTGGAAATCTCTGATCCTGTCTAACGTCCCATTAGACTTTCACTTTCAAATTAACCTAAGATCAAAGCATTTAATTGCTTCATACAGCATCTGAAACTATTTGTGTTAAAAAATTGGTTATACCTTGGAATAATATTTGCACAACTCTGTTAGACAGACATATGAATTAGTACCAAGTACTTCATTTTATAAAAATTATTTTTGTTTTTTTTTCGTTTTAATTTTTCCATAGGTAAAGCTAATTTCAGATTTCGATAAATTACATGATCTCAGGCTTGCGATCCTGTTGGAACAGCCTTACCTTCCCATGTCCTGCTTAGAGCTTGGGTGTCCAGTCTCATCCACTTCAACGACAGATGACTTTTTACAACTCCATTGCCTCATGGTTAACTTATTGCCTAAATTGAACGAGGGATCCTCAAAGCAATCTCTTCTAGAATTCGCATTTGTGATTGATTGCTCAGGTATATACCAGTTAATAGCTAATCCTAACTCTGAGTTCATAATGCCTAAGCTAATAAGAAACATACACCATATTCTTAGATATATGCTTAATTGTTCAGCTCAAGTGACATTCTTACAGGTATTCACTGCCGACTTTTTATATATTTGATTTCACAATCGACAGCTTCATACATGTGTACGACATTTACTTGTTATATAGTGGCTGAATCTACTAGTGGGTCTCCGTAATGAAGTATTCATGGGCCTGATGATAGATTGAGGACTTAATAAATGGTCAACTATTGTTTATCACTATTTTGCTAAGCCAAGAAACACAAAATATATTTTTGTAAGTTAGTTGCATGTGAAATGGACACGAGCATATCATATTAGATGTATAAATACGATCAGCCTTGTCTCCTGTGTTTGGAGGGATACTGCAATGCAATAATTTCTTATGAACGAATGTAATAATTTGTTGCGTCATGAACATTTAAATTCTAATTATTATGGGGATTATTGTAAACTGGTTTTTTTTCACAACCATTGCATATTATCGAAGGTATGAAGGCCGAGATAGTGTGGCCTCTAGTACGGTCGCGGTCTCCTTTCGTTCTACATAAGTTGTTTGACCTTGTCTTGCAACTTTGTCATATTGTCAGGGTAGTTCCTCTAGATCTTCTTGATAATAAGATAAAGTCGTGAAAACAAGGTCAAAGAACTTATATTGCATATTATGTTTATTTCATTTGACGACACTCACATTAACAAGGTCCCATAATTCAGTTCAACACTTAACATTTATTCATATTAAGTAAGTTCAATTACCAGTACTTTAGACTATTTATATGCAGCTGGGACCTGATCTCTGCAATATTTCTCCAATACCTTGTTAAATGCATGCTTGGACTGGAAAATCATTCTTCGAATCGTATGCACGAAATAAAGTTTCCTCTTGGTCCCCCTGACAATACGACCAATTTGTGAAGAAAAGTTCAAATAACTTTTATACAAAGAAAGGCGACCGCGACAATACTAAAGGCCAACTATCTTGGTCTTCATACCTTAGATTAAGTTTTCATAATTAATGAATCAATTTTTAACAAAATATTTTTTCAGCCTATTTACCCGTCCGAATTCCCCTGATTTGGCCAGACCTTTTGCTATTATTGTGAAAATGGAGCTCTTTAAGAGCTGCTTGCCAACGCTCAATCAGCAAATATAGACACTTTTGCCCTGAATCGTTAGTGGATAATTAATTTTTTGTGGCCTATGCAGTTTTCACTTACTTCTCTATGTTTATAAGAGTTTTATTTGGCTTAACAATAAACTAATCGAATATGGAAGTAATTTTACTTTGCTTTCGCAATTCGGTCGTATTGGTAGGAAGATTTAGAGGAACGCACCTAGCCCGGAGTCTATTGTATGCATGATAATATCCAGAGTCGGACCGTGGACGTGGTACATTACCAGACGCTTTGCCGGCATCCTCAGTGACTCTTGCCAGTCTTAGCACCACACTACAACTAATCAAAGAGCCAAATGAAGTCGATCCTTTGACCAAATGTGTGGTATTCTTCCTTCTGCCCTGGTCTATTCACCTACCCTATATCCTCTTATCACACCTTCACTATCACAATTTTGTCCTTGCCTATTAAAATGAAGTGTGTTGTGCCATTTTGAGCGACCATAGACGTGGTCCTTGAAGCAAAGGCTTCACCATAAGAATTACTCAGCGGCTTGAGCCTCAAGTTAGTCTCCTAGAGGCAGAGTGTGGGAGCAAAGATGATGTGGCAGAGGTCGAGTGAAATACTTTAACCAGGGAGATAGCAGACGGATCCTACGGGGAAAGAGGAAGACTCTGTTAAGACCTTGGGAAGGAGTACTGCGTAACAATATGGCAAATTATGATCAACATTCCCAGCACAATAGTGAGGGGATGAGGAAGACAGCGTGGAGTGTGGAGAGCTTTCATGAAAGCCACTCAAAATGGCACACCATACCACGTTTAAATAAACAGGTAAAAATTGTGATAGTGAAGTCGTGATAAGAGGATATAGGATAGGTGAATAGCCCAGGCCAGAAGGAGAGATACCACAATTGTCTACTACACATTTGGCCAAAGGATCGGCTTCACTTAGCTCTTTGACTAGTTGTAGTGTGGTGTCAAGACTCACTGACGATGCCGGCGAAACGTCTGGGAATGTAAATGTCAGCGGTTCGACTCTGGATATTATCATGCATTTAATGAACTCCGGACTGGATTCGTTCCTCTAAGACTTCCTACCAATATGGCCAAGTTGCGAAAACAAGGTCAAACAACTTTTATACAACGAAAGGAGACTGAGATCTCACAAAAGGACACATCATCTTGGTCTTCATACCTTTGATTAATCGAGTATGCTTCTTTGAAATAGCTAAGCTTACTATTAGTGACATGAGCTCGTGTTGTAACTCCCATGCCATTTTCATTGAATTTCCCGTCTACTGCATTAAAGAACTGCACTAAGCTCGTTCTTTCTAAAATTCAAGTAAAAAGTCGGTTAACCTCCTAATCGCGCATGGTACGTTGTATTATAAGACAATAACGTTCCTTTGAAACCAAATTTCATGTAAATAGTTATGAGTAAAATTAGACGCAGCTTTTACTTTCTTTTAGCTAGTTAGTGAAATTCAGCTGTTGTCTCTTTTATACTAACCTATTTATCATTATCTTTTTCAGGAAGCATGCAAGGTGATCGAATAGAACATGCTAAACAGGCTATGTTGCTACTGGTCAAGAGTCTGCCCTCTAATTGTCGGTTCCAGGTCGTGCGCTTTGGCTCAGAAGCTAAAACTTTTTTTCCCAGGTGAATCTTTTCATCCGCTTTTTATCAAGATTAAATTTCAAAAGTAACACATCAGCATTCAGTTATGCTGACAAAATAACCTTGAACTATCAAATGCCAGATAATACATTTATTTGAGTCCAAGAACGAATCATACTATTGGTGCGAAAAATGGTTGAAAATAGTAAAATAATTAATCCTCTATTTGATATTTGTTTTGGTGAAACTAGACCTCATTCTTCCATATTAGTTATTATTGTTAATCCAAAAATAATTATCCTCGAGAAACGCGTCACTTCATAGATACATAAGACGAATTAGGGAAAAGAAGACCTTATCTACTAAACTGTATACAAATAGTCACTCAAAATAAATGATCTTGGTGAGAATAGTAAATTATAGTATTCAGCAGTTAAAAGTCATGCAATTATACTCACTACTAAATGGCATTACCTGAACCGATTTTGGACAAGGTACATCAATTCAATTTCGGGTTTTATAAGCTATAGAAGTTGGTCATTGATGGTCATTGAATGGCACTAGCTTTCTATCCATTGCAGGCAATTTTATTTTTTTCCTCGATATATCCACAAAGACATGCAAACTTTGATTATATATTGTCTTTACTAAATAATCGAAATGGAGTTGATTTATAAATCGGTACATTAGCATTTATTTCTTGCCACTTGCATCGACGTCAAAAAACAAATATTATCGGTTATACGAGAAGTACTCATCTTATTTCGTTTAAGCTAATGAAGGACTGGTAGTTGAATTTTTCCACAATGATATGAGTGGAGCTGACGTTTCATTGAATTTCACATAGACTTGCTTTCTCAAAAGTTGTTCTCATCCAGGGTGAGCTGAAGTTTCGACATCGCCTAG